CCTCCTCCTCCTCCTCCTCCTCCCCCTCTTCCTCCTCCTAGGATTTGGATTGACGATCCAATGCTTCAAATATTGGGGTCGCGTAGGGTTGTTGAAGATTCCACCGTCGCTGTCGTGGATATGGTGTCCACGTCCATGCAAGAGCACGAGCTCAAGCTTGCGGACAAGAGCGTTGTACTCAGTCCGCTGCACGTCGTCGCCAAGCAGATCGCTTCTCGGTTGAAACGTCGTGGAGTGCAGATCAGCCCGGTCCTCCAGGCTCCATATCTCGGTATTGATTTGGGGGGAGGCAAGAGGCAGGCCAGGCAGACGAGGAGCCAGCGGGTTGTGAAGGGGACGCAGCAGCATCGTAAGCTTAAAGGGTTTGCACGCACGGCTCGGCGGTACACGGTCACAAAAAAATGAGCTTGCTGGTCCACAGGCTTGTTCTAATTATGGTCTCGATATCTACGGAATTATGGGGCAGCAGCTACAGCGTCTTCGGCAGCGTTTAGGTGCGGTGTCGGGCTCTGGCAGAAAGGGTAAATGCCTCACAACGCTCTTAGATCTTCGGGCGCCTGGGCGGGACCCAGGCATCACTCTACCGTCGTCGTGCATTAAGACTTGGCTTGATTGTTGGATCAGGTTTCCAGAATCGTATGCGGGTATCTTTCGTGTTTGGGATGGGGTGCGCAGGGATCTGGCAGCCACTGACACTAACAAGCGATCGAGGCACATACGAGGTCCCATCTCGGCTGTGCTGACGCATCTGATGTCAGCAGGTTGGACCCACTGGAAAGGTCCGCAACTCCCGACTGGCGAATATGACTTTCAATGGACCTTCCCAGCAGATGCGCTTGTTTCAGTGGGTGAGGCTAAGGGTCTCCTGGAGGACTTTCAAGAGTCCTTGGCCATGCAGCAGTGGGCTGCAGCTGAGCAGCATTTTTGCGGGTCGGGCATCTCACGAGGGGTGGACAATTTATCTCTCCGCATCCTCCTTCGCCAACTCGAGGGGGCCAAGCATGGTAGGCAGTTAGCAGAGGTTATGGTGTGTATTGCTACGGGTGGGTGTTGGCCCGAGGACAGGAAGTTCCAGGAAGGTTTGATTGCCGTCAATGAGTGCCCTCGCTGTAAACTTGCCAAACGTCCGTCCACGCCCGAGACGCCCGAGCATCGACATTGGTTGTGCCCCAGCAACACAAATCATCCCGCCTTCTCCGACTCAGATCAGCTTGTGTCTAAGGCTGTTTCGCAAGGCCAGGTTGAGGCATGCGTTTGGCATCGAGGGCTTCTGCCAGCTAGCTGGACAGCCGTGCCGCCGCCACCCGACCAAGAGCAGTGGCTGTATGCTGACCTGTTGGCCAACGAGCTCATCCCAGGTGCGCTGGGAGTGGGAACGGAAGAAGCCCCTCTATATGTTTTTGGAAACGCTTCTGCTGGGAAGGAGGGGAGGGACGAGAGGTTGAGGAGAGTTGGTATTGGCATATGTTCGGCGCTGTCCCTTTCTCCCTTCGTTCTCGGGCCTGTCGTCTTTGGTCCTCTCACTGGGCGACATCAGTCCGTTCCGAGGGGGGAGTTGAGGGGCCTCGAGTTGGCCATTCGTTCATCTCTTGGGGATTTGGTTTACACTACTGACAACGATGAGGTCGCTCTATGAGCGGCCTTAAGGCGCCCTCGCGTCTATATGGAGAGAAATCGGTGTGCTGTTGAAGGCTCGCATCGGTTCGGTTGTGGTCTTGAAAGTGACATCGCATGTCGCCCCGTCCGACAGTGTGTTTCGTCGCTACCCCAGCTGGATGATCGCAGGTAACGAGGCCGCCGATGAACTTGCCAGAGTCGCCGCCCAGAATTCCAGAATTGCTGATTCCCATATTTATCGGGTTGCGGAGGCAGAGAGTATGGCTAGGCTGGTGCGAAGACGGCTAATGAGGTCCACGTTAGCTGCGATGGAAGCGTCCGTCCAGGTTCGTCGGGCTGAAAAATCGTCTGAGCGCCCTCCTGCCGCTGCTGCTGCTTTGCCCCCGCCTGCTCCCCCCCCTCCTGCCGCCGTCGCCCTCTTCTCCTCCGTTCACCAGCTGGACGAGGCTGGGCTGAGGTGCACACGTTGTACATGTTCTTCGACGGCGGCGGCCAGGACGGCCTGGCTCGCCTCGCCGTGCACGGAGCTCGAGGCGGCAGGACGGGTGCTTAAGCCTCCGCGGGGGTTTAGAGTGCATGTTGGGGGGGGCTTCGCTCATAGCTCGCATAATATGGTTTTTTTTCTCAGGATTCTGGTGTTTGGATTTGCGGGAGTTGCGGGTTCTTTGGGGAACTCGTTTTACGCGGTTTTGGACCGTTTTGAGAGGGGCCTTAGGCCCAAGTCCAAACTCTAACTTTTTTTATTTCGGTATGACTACGTCATTGATCCCATTCCCATTCCCATTCCTCCTCCTCTTCTCCCCCCTCTTCCTCCTCCTCCTCCTCCTCCTCCTCCTCCTCCTCCTCCTCCTCCTCCTCCTCCTCCTCCTCCTACTACTACTACTACTACTCCTCCTCCCCCCCCCCCCTTCCAACTCCTGGTGGTGGTGGTGGAAAACCCGCCCGCCGAGGGCAAACTCCGACGAGCACCGCGCCGGGGACCTCGGAGAGCCCGCGGGTCTGCCCGACGCCTCGGGCGCCGAGGCCTGCCCTCCAGCGCGCCCCAGACTCGCATCGCTCGGACGTCCATTCCCTGTGCTTTTGTTCGGTTTCGTGCGTGGTTTATTCGCCGAATGATCAAGGATGCTCCTCGATGGCCCTCGCCGAAGGAAAAATGTACACGTCCGGGCGATGCCAAGCAGACCAGGACCCCCCCGACGCCGGGCTTGGTTCACAGCGTCGCCTCCCAGAGAGGCCTGGACCCTGCTTGGCTTCCCCTCCGTGTCCCCCCGTCCGTCCGTCTGTCGGCCCGGTCTGGTCCTGCCCCGTCGCGGTCTGGTCCTGCCCCGTCGCCCTCCCTCATTCTCTCCCCCTCCCTCTCTCGCTCCTCGGCTTTTTGCTCTCCGGCCCGTCCCTTCTCCCTGCCTGGCCCGCTGTTCCTTGTCGGCCTGCCCCGCAGTCCGAACAAGAGTTGGGGCACTGCCTGTTGGACGTGTGGAACAGGCGGATCTCGAAGCAGCCTTGAAGCAACAAGCGAAGTCTGGACCCTTTCCCCGGGACGAGTTTGTGACCGCTTTGCGCGACCGTGGTGTTATTAATTCGGCGTTTCGACATTGGGCGGAAGGGGGGGGAGGGGGGGGGATCTGGCTCTGGATCTCTGCTCAAGGGCGTCTGTTTGCAGCGGTGCGTCCTGCGGGGGAGACCCCCCCCGCTCGAAACAGGCGCCCCAGAAATGGCCAAGATCTATGGGGGTGGGGGGGAGGGGGGGTGCGAGGGCCCGGCCGTTCGGCAAAATTCGCCGGCCCAACGGGCCAGAGGCGTGCTAAGATCTCCGGTAACTGGTTCCCAGTATTTCTAATTCGCGCGTGCGGGGCGGCCCCTGGGGGTCCCCGGACGAAAAGTACCCCAGCAAGGTCCCGGGAGAAGCCTCCCAGAGCGCTCCAGGAGCGCACCAACAGGGCCTCGAGACGTCCCCGAGAGTCCCAAGAAGGGCCAAGAGAGAGTCCCATGAAGAGCCAAGAGTGCCCAAGAGGCCCCCAAGATGGTACACCAAGGGTCCGAGATGCCACAAGATCGCTCCAAGACGCTCAAGACAGCCCCCAGACGCCCCACGAGGCTTTCAAGAGCACTCCCAAGAGGGCCCCAAGAGGCACAATTCATTGTTTTTCCTTCGGTGTTGGGGAGATTTTGGCGTTTCCACCTTTTCGGCATCGCGACGCCCCAAGACGGCCCAAGAGGCCCCCAAGATCGCCCTAAGAGGCCCGAGAGGCCTCCGACAGGGCCCCAAGACGGCCTAAGAGGGTTCCAAGACGGCCCAAGAGGCCTCCAAGACGGCCCAAGAGGGCCCCAAGAACGCTCTAAGAGAAGCCCCAGAAGGGGAACACGAAACAACATTTCCAGCCCTCGCTCTAAGAAGCGCCCAGGAGGCGCCAAGATGCCCCTAAGAAACCCCAGGAGGCCCCCAAAAGGCCCTCACGAAGCCCCCAAGAAGCTCCCAAGCGGCTCCAGGAGGCCCCCCATGCCCCCCTGACCACGCTAGCAAGTGCCAGCGATGCTACAATATGGGCAGCGAGCACAAAGAAGTTCTGAGAAACTTCCGCACAGCGCTCCGTCTACCCTCCTCAGGCGCTCCTCCTCCTCCTTCTCCTCCTCCTTTTCCTCCTCCTCCTGATCCCCTCCTCCGCTCCTCGATGGAGCGGTCCATCGCCAGGTGGGAGTCGCATTGGGCGCCGCGGGCTTGCAGCGCAGCGCCTAAAGGGTGAGACGGCCGCCCCTACGCTGCTGGGCCTCTGGAGGCCTCTGGAAAGCTTCACGCGGAGAGATTTCGGGCTCAAGCGCCAGCGAGGGCACAATACGGGCCGGCGGAATGAGCGAAACGATTAAATGATGACTAAAAACGACCACTCAAAACGATCACTGTTTCGTCCCGTGCCGCTGCTTGCCGGACCCGAGGCCCTGCACGGACCCTAGGAGGCCGAAGATGGCAACAAAAGTCTCCCGCCAGGACTTTTGCCGCAACGCCAGAGAGTTCCAGGTCTCGGGCGCCGCGGCATGCCCAGAGCGCCCCAGGATAACCCTCACGGAAGCGTCCCGGAGCGCCGCTCTTTTGGACGCCCGAAAAAGGTACGGAAAAAAAGGGTACAATGCCCAACAGCAGATGTTGTCCCAAACCAACAGCGGCCGCTGTTGAGCAGGCGGCCCTCTGTCTCAAATGGACACAGGCCGCGGCGGCGTGGACAGCGAATCCTGGTCAGAATGAACAAGATCCGCTGTTGGGCATTGTACCCATTCTTTCCCTGCCCAATTCGGGCGTCCAGAGCTCTGGAGCGACCTCCTCGTCGTATCGGCCCCGCCCTGCCTGGGCTCCGCCTCCTCCCCTCTCCGCAGCACTGCTGCTCGAGGGGCCCTCGGCGAGGGCCCCCCGCGCGCCCAGAGGAGGCCAACGCGCGCTGGCCAGGGAGGGCAGGAGGCGCGGGAGGACTGGGGAACTCCTTTCCCGCCCTCCCCCGCCCTGGTGCCATGGCCATAGCCGCCTCCTCCTCCTCCTCCTCCTCCTCCTCCTCCTGTTCCTCCTCCTGATCATCATCATCATCATCATCATCATCATCATCATCATCATCATCATCATCATCATCATCATCATCATCATCATCATCATCATCATCATCATCATCATCATCATCATCATCGTCATCCTCATCCTCATCCTCATCCTCCTCATCATCATCATCATCATCATCATCATCATCATCATCATCATCATCGTCGTCATCCTCCTCCTCCTTCTCATCCTCATCATCATCCTCATCATCATCGTCGTCATCGTCATCGTCATCAACATCAGCAGCATCATCATCAGCATCATCATCACAATCATCGTCAGCATCATCACTATCATGTTTATTATCATCATCAGCAACATCATCATCCCTATCATCATCCTCATCCGAATCCTCATCCTCATTCTCAACCTCATCCGCATCCTCATCCTCATCCTCAACATCGCCCTCCTTATCCTCATCCCCCTCCTTATCCTCATCAGCACCATCGGCATCACCATATGTATTACCAACAACATCCTCATCCTCATCAACATCAACATGATCCTCAGCCTCATCCTCCGCAAAATACACATGATCGTCGACAGTATCATCGTTGCCAACATCGTCACCATCATTATCATCCTCACCATCATCATCCTCACCATCATCATGTTCATCATCATCAGCAGCATCATCATCATCATCATCATCATCATCAACAATACCAACAACATCACCATCATCATCATCCGCCTCCTCATCATCAGAATCACCATCACCATCATCAGCATCAGCATCATCATCATTATCAGCATCATCATCCTCACCATCATCATGTTCATCATCAGCATCATCAACATCATCATTGTCATCATCATCGTCAGCATCATCTGCATCAATCGCATCATCATCATCATCATCATCATCATCATCATCATCCTCATCCTACCACTCCGCATTATCCTCCTCCTCCTCCTTCTAATCGTCATCAGCATCACCATCATCATCATCATCACCATCATTATCATCCTGATCCTTGTCATCATCAGCATCCTGTTCCTCCTTCTCGTCCTCCTCCTCGTCATCATCATATTTACCATCAACCTCTTCCGAACCCTGGATGGCTGTCAAGAAGCTGCGGAAGGGGAAGGCTTGTGGGCCCGATGACATCCCCCGGGAGTTCTGGCAATGCGTGACGGACACGGAGGAAGGCCTCGCATGGCTTACGGAACTCTGCAACGCGTGCTGGCTGGCGGAGGAGACCCCTGCTGACTGGCACGCTGCTCGGGTTGCATCCATTTACAAGAAGGGCAGCGTCGAGGATTGTGACAACTATAGACCAATCAGCCTCATCTGCGTCACGTGCAAATTGTTTGCGACCGTGCTGCTGCGACGCTTGCAGGAGGCCGGAACAGAACGGCGACTGACGACAACACAGTTCGGCTTCCGGTCAGGACGAAGCACGCAGGACGCTATTTTCGCGGTCAGAAGGCGGATCGATCAAGACCTCGCTTGGCAGAACGGTCGCGTCTGCGTCCTCGCTCTAGATTGGAGAAAGGCTTTCGACTCGATCAACGTGGGCGCCATGATCACGGCACTGGGGCGCCATGGATTACCGGGCAAATTCTTACGGATGGTCCGACATATCTACACTGACCGGACATTCACGGTGATTGGACAAGCCACGGGTTCTTCTGAGAGGACGCAGAGATCAGGCATTTCACAAGGCTGCCCACTTTCGCCATTCCTATTCGTGATGCTGATGACAGTCATCGCGCACGACGCCGCAGAGCGGATGCCTGGAGAGTTTGGACAACAATTGGGTGCTGGCGGGCTGGACATGCTGTTATGCGGATGACACTCTGCTCATCGGACCGAACGGAAAAGCTTTGCAAGCTCTGTTGGACAGCACTGCGTACGTTGGCGCGCAGTACGGCATGGCTTTGCATTGGTCCAAATTCCAATTGCTGTCAATCGGGAAGGATTACCGCCTCCACACGCCAGCCGGCGAGGCCATCGCAGCCAACAGTGTCATGAAGTATCTTGGCGTGAATCTGCACTCGGACGGCGACGCGGGCAAGGAGCTGCACGGCAAAATCGGCCACGCTTGGGGCGATTTCTGCAAGCTGAACCGCTTCTGGAAGAGAACATTCTTGACGAGGGCGCGGAAGATCGAGGTATTTGAATCAATGATTGTGGGAAGACTACTATGCGGTTTCAATTCCGCTTGGTTGAAAAAAGCCGCCGTCAAGCAACTGAACGGCTTTTACTGTAGATTGTAGATGTTTGCGCCAGATTCTTCACATACCACATTCTTTCTTCTCGAGGATCTCCAACGAAACTGTTCTGAAGGAGGCGGGGAAGCAGCCGTTGAACCGGCGACTTCTTCAACAACAACTGTTATCATATGGCAGGGTGGCAGGGGCGATGGAAGATAATGTTCTAAGGCAAAGAAGATTCGTGCCGGGAAGCTTGACCCCTCTCACGCATAAGTACGTCAGGAAGATTGGCCGCCCCAGGAACGAATGGTCAGCTCAGATTGGTAAGGTCGCTGCGCAATTGAACGTCGATATGAGTGATGCAGAAGCATGGAAGTCTAGAGTCGTCAATTTCTGCATGAGTAGCTAGTTTGCACGAGTCCACGCGCCTAGGGCGTATGACTTTTCGTTCGTTCGTTCGTTCTTCCGAACCCTCGTCCTCATCAACTTCAGCATCCTCATCCTCATCCTCATCATCCTCACCATCCTCATCCTCGTCATCATCCTCACTATCATCAGCATCATAATCCTCATCTTTCTCTTCATCCTCATCCTAATCATCATCGTCCGCATGCTCATCATCATCCTCATCCTCGTCATCATCATCATCATCATCAGAATCGTCATCATCATCAGCATCGTCATTACCATCCTCGCCATCATCGTCATCAACGTCATCAACCTCATCGCCATCATCTTCATCACCAATATCATTACGCTCACCATCATCACCACCATCATAATCAGCAGCAACAGGAACATCACGATGTTCAGCATCACCACCTGCTCATCATCATCATCATCATCCTCATCATCATCATCAGCATCATCATCAGCATCAGCATCATCATCACTATCATCATCACCACCATCAACATCAATATCCTTATGATCACCCTAGTGCTCATCCAAATCCTCATTCTCATCAACACTCCTCGCTCATCCATCTCGACCTGCATCTGGTGCGCTGGCGCTGCTGGCAGTGCTGAATGTCCGGCTGGGACCACATTCATCTAAACATATCCTCCTACGCTTCCCTCGCTTCTGTCTGCCCTGTCCTCCTCCTCCTCCTCGTCTTTCATCTTGTTGTCTTTCTCCTCGTTCGCCATCTCCTCCGCCTCCTTCTCCTTCTCCTCCTCGTACGCATCATCTGGACATCGGGAACATCCCGATGTGCAGATGATGCACTTGGAGGTTTTAGCATCTGGACGGGATGTTCCAACCTCCGTGCGCATCACCTCGGCATCCCGAAGCTGGACGTGGGGCTGAGACACGTTCGCCCCCAAGACTCCCCAAAGAGAACGCACCGAACCAGGAGGAATTGGAAGCAAACCAAGAATCGAAAATTTGGCCGCCGAGCGGAAACCGAGACATCCAAGCAGCTCGTTGACCGGGGCGCTGCACTTCGCGACGACGGACCATCCTTTCATCGCCACTTTTTGGAGTGGCCGGCACTGCAAGCAGTGGCTGAGCGGACCTCCAGATCAGCACGCGAAGACACCGCAGCCGTGCTCTTCCCCAGGTCCCGCATGGAGATCGAAGTTCTCCAGACCCCCTTCAAAGGAGCCAGACACTCTTCCATGTCCCCCCGTTCCTCACCCCTCGCCTTCATCGGGGGCGCGCAAACATGGATTAGCGATCCGTGGATTTGGCGCGCGGTCGTCAAATCCGTGGAGCGGGGGAGGTGCCCTCCCCAAGATGCGGTCGGTGCCGCCTCGTTCGGCGGCGGACATCCGCGATTTCCCCTGGAAGCCGGACCCGTCGCTAATCCACGCCCCCCTGATCAATGTGTGCGATCGCCTGATTCACAGGAGCCAAACACTTTGCGGTGTCCTCCCGTTCCTCACCCCTCGCCGTGAGCCCTGCTCGCTCCCCCATCAGCAGCGCGAGGCCCGACTCCACCCTCGGCACGGTGATCCCACCCTAGTGGCCGTGGAGGAGTCGAGAGAGGCCCGCTCTGGCTACAAGAACTGCGACTGCCCCAGTGGAGGCCTCGACGAGCCCCGTGGCGGGCCCGTCGAGGCTCTGTTAGGAGGCATCTACTGGGAGGTCTTCGTCGGAAAAGTGATGAAATCCCATCGGGACGCTGCTGCGCCGTATTAGGTCGGGAATCCAGCGGGCTGAAGCCAGATGAAACGGGATCGACCGGGATTAACCCAGATTAATCGGGATTGACCAGATTGGGGACCAGGGGGAAGTCATAGGTTACGCTCCCATGAGTTGCATCCGAAGGAGTTCCTTGAGAGATGTCGCAGGTAAATTGGCCCTGCCCTGACCCTCAGATCCCGGTGTTGCAATTTCTTTTTCACAGCGGGCGTTGATTTGCTCCATATGTCGGGCCGCAGGGCCCTCACACAGATCATTTCTGGATCGAGACACGACGCAGAGAAAGCTGGGATCGGGGGCTCTGGTCGCATTTTCTAGCGATGTTGCAACTTTTTGCGACGTCGGATCTCTCGGCTGTGGACAAACCTCCCTTTCATAAACCACTTTTTAATGAAAACGGCCTAGGACCGAAATTGACGGGCCTGGGCCCGCAAACATGACGGCCGCGACGCCCTCTCGCGAACCGAAAACGGCCTATTCGCTAATCGACGTGTCAGGGTAGGAGGTCTATCAACCTCCGATTGGCCCTGCCCTGACCCTCAGATCCTGGGGTTGCATTTTTTTTGGCAACGGGCGTTGTTTCGCTCCATGTGTCGGGCCGCAGGACCCTCACGGATAGATATCCAGCTCGAAAAACACGACGCGGAAATCTGGGATCGAAGGGGCCCTGGGACACACGATTAAATGGATACAAGTAACCGGATTCTCCTTATTTTCCTATATTTTCAAAGTTTTCGTATTCCCCTCCACTTCCTATATTTTCAACTAGTTTCCTGGGAGTCGACGATTAATTGTGTATGTGTGTTTTTCCCCCTCCTGAAGGATCCGGGGTTCCGGTTGCACTTTTTGGCGATGCTGCAATTTTTGGCAGTATCGTCGGATCACAGGGAACGGGATTCCAGTAACAAGGGATAGGTCGGGCATGTCCCCCAATACCACCAAAAAATGATCCAACCATATTCAAAAATGGTCGAAACATCATCAATTTGTGAATAAACCTCCTGTGGAGGGACAAGCCCGACTTGAAACAAAAAGGCATGCTAAGCACTTCCGTGTGCCCTGCCCGGGGCCCTGGGCAGGCCAGCTGCGCGGACCCCCCTCTGCGAAGAGGCGCCCCCGCCGCCAGGCAACAAAAAAAACGGCGGGGAGAGCAGGGGGGGAGGGGCTATGGGCAAGCTAGGTGCACTCGCGTCATATCTGACATCCTACCCCTCCCTCCCATCCCTTACCATGACGCAGATCCCCTCTCTACTCGCACGGTCGGATGTCGAGCAGGGCAATGATCCCGAAAGGGTACGCGATGCATTGTAGAGCACAGCATGGCATGGAGAACGGGGGGAGGAGCGAGGCGGCGAGGGGAGGCGGGGGAAGGCGAAGAGGGGCGCGGGGTAGGGGGGCGGGGCAGCCTCGAGAGGCAGCCGTCCCTTTTGCGAGCAGCAGCGATGCACCCGCAAGCGCCGACCCGACAGCAAAACACCCTCTCAGCGGACGCACATGACCAATCCGACGCAATGTCCACAACCACATCGCGCCCGATGGTGTGCTTTTTCTTATATGTATATACATATGTGTATATATATATGTAACACACAACGTGCCCGATGCGTTTTTGGAACTCTCGGTGCCTCCACGCTCGGGAATCGAAGCGGGTGGGCCAGGAAATAGGGGGCGAGGGCGCAGCATGGCCCGCGGCACGTGCGAGGACACGTCAAGAGGCAGCAGGGGGGCCGTGCTGAAAGAGGAAGGCTTTAGGCCACGAAGCCTGGGTGATCTCGTGGACCCCCCCCCCTCTTGGACGCCCCCCGACTCCCCACTGGTGAGGGGTGACCTCAGGGGGGCTTGCTCGGCCAGGGGGGGGCGACCTGGAATCGGCGATGCGTCGCAGACACATCGGCGATGGGCCGCCGCTGGCGAAGCCACGCGTTCCCAGGCGCGTTCGGGCTATCGGGCCCCTATCGGCGATGAGTGGGCGACTAGTGGCTGCTGCATCCCTCCCTGAGCCCGTCGCCCCCCAACGTTGCCCCTGACTTTCCACCGACCCGATCTTCCCCTCAGGCCCGACGGCGCGAAACATCGTGAACACACCGCTGGAGCCCCAGATCCCATCTGTCTCTGGCACCTGTCGAGCCGGATCGATCTACGAGGCTCCAAGGGCCCGAAACCCGATGAACACGCCCGGCTCGAAGAAATTGCGGCGCCGGGATCTCGGGCTTAGCTTTCTGGCCCCTCGCGTGGCTCCTGCCAGCTGCACAGAAGAGTGCCCATGGGTAACAGTGACCTTTGGTGCGCGGAGTCTTGAGGCGCGCGGGGGGTTGGGCCCAACACACAAGCGCGCAAGGCGCTTATATCGCGTCGCGCTCGGCGACCAGGGGGTCCCAGTGGGCGCGCTCCAGAGGTCAATCCAGCGAAGGGTCGACGACGGCGAAAACGACGGCGACGTTAATGACGACGACGACGACGACGACGACGACGACGACGACGACGACGACGACGACGACGACGACGACATCGACGAGGCGGGCCGCCGTCCACGGCCCAGCCGCCCTCCGGCGCCTCGAAGGCGGCCAAGAGCTGCATGCACTGCGGCCTCCCGAGCGCGGAGGCCGCCGAGAGGCCGCCGCGGGGGCGAGGGGGCCGCCGCCGCGGTGGGCGGGCCGCCTGCCGCCGCCGCCGCCGCCTCCTCCTCCTCCTCCTCCTCCTCCTCCTCCTCCTGCTCCTCCTCCTCCTCCTCCTCCTCCTCCCCCTCCCAATCCTCCTCCTCCGCCTCCCCTATCCTCCTCCTCCTCCTCCTCCTCCGCCTCCTCCTCCTCTTCGTCGTCCTCCTCCTCCTCCTCCTCGACGTCGTCGTCGTTGTCGTCGTCGAGCACCCAGAACGCATTTCGGGCACCCAGGAAGAATTTCGGGCCTGTCCTCCTACAGGCGGATCTTGGACGAAAAATAAGAATACGCACCATATCAAAAAACATAGTCTAAACAGGATCGAAACATCGTCGGCGGTCTCCGCGAGGCCCGGAGAGGGGGAGGGCACCGGGGCCCGCCACGAGCGCCCCGCCAGCCTTGCAAACGCAGCGGGCCCGCCGAAGGCGCTTCTTTTTTAATACATGTTTTGCTTGATTTATAAACGTCTTTATATACGAATGCTTTCCATATGCATATTTTCCCGAGTTAATAGAATTGAATTCATTTATTTATTTATATATATATATATATGTACATATATCTATATATACACATATCTATATATATATATATGTATGAACCTTCCTCAGTGGAAAGGGTTCAGGTTCTCATTGGGTTTCTCGTCGAGAGATCTAGGGGGCGCCCAGCGGACCGCCGAAGGCGCCGATGGAGGCTTCGTGGATAGGGAGGGGGGTACCAGGACCAGGCAACAGTCACTCAAGACTGCTCGCTCGTCATTGCTCGCGTGTCGCTGCACACGTATACCCCATGCCCCGCTACCCGCCTATAGTGCTTGCACAAATGCAATATTGCTCACTGAACTGAATTTTCGAGCAACGCTCCCCGGCACAGTGTCAGACTGTTCAACATCGTCTCTGACGATGATGTATTTTGTTTTAGTTTTCCTTTCAGGGCTTGTCGCCGCTGCCTGAACTTCCTAGGTCGCCCCGAAAATTCACATGGGGGGTCAGATCCATCAAGGAAACAAATCGGCGATCTCGTGACCTGGGTCTATGCAGATCCGGGTCAGTCGGGCTTTGCAAGATCCTGCAGGATCCTGTGCGCTAGCCTGGGTCAATGCAACCCTGGCGTTGCAGGATCCTGCAAGATCTGGCGCTCTGACCGAGCTCGAGCGATCTCCTTGGCGCACCCGCCTGTAGGCTGGCTCCTTCTGGTGTGGGCAGACCCCCCTTCAGCAGCCAGCCCTTAGGGAGAAAGCGACCCGGGACCAGACACGGCGGGGGTATGCCCGCACCAATACAGGGCCGCACCGCCCTCTCGAGAATCGAGACCGTAGAGGCCTCCCAGATAGGGTCCGAAGACGTAGGATCGGAGCATCGCCGATGCATCGGAGACGCGGGCGATGCATCGGCGACGTCGGCGTGGGGAACATCGGGTTCCACATCGAGCCGCATCGCCGATGCGGCGCACTCCTCCGACCCCATCCAGTGAACGTTTTCTTTTTCGGCGTCGCGACGTTGGGCGGAAGGGGGGGGGTCTGGCTCTGGACCTCTGCTTAGTGCGACTGATTGCAGCAGTGCGTCCTACTGGCCATCGCTCGGACGTCCATTCCCTGTGTTGTTTTCGGTTTCGCGCGTGGCTTTTTTCGCCAAATGATCAAGGATGCTCCTCGATAGCCCTCGCCGAAGAAAACATGCACACGTCCGAGCGATGCCAAGCCTCTCGAGGAGGGCGATGCGATCAGATCCCTCACGCGATGCGCCGCAGAGAGCGGGCGGGCTGCGGCCACAGCCTGTGCACCATCCCCGCGGGGGCCACGCCGGCGAGCTCCCTGGCGACGTCCGCGCGGCCCTGGCGCCCGCGCCAGCGGCCGCACCTGCAGCACCCCCGCGGGGCGGACTCCTGGTCCTCGGAGCTGGAGCAGGTGCCGACCGTCCCAGCACTCCGATTGGGGGCCCACTGCGGAAGTTCTTGGAACCGAATGATGCTCTGAGAGCCCTTAGAACAGAGAGAGACCATGCCTCAAGGCGGGATTCAGCCAGACATGTTCTAAGAATATGCCGTGCAGCCGCACAAGGCTCTCAGACCATCACTCCGATCGGGGTTATGCCCGACCGTCCCAGCACTCCGATCGGGGTTACGTCCCAGCACTCCGATCGGGGTTATGTCGGGCCTGTCCCCCTACAGGGGGATGTTCGACGAAAGATACGAAATACCCCCAAAATAATAAAAAATAGTTCAAAGATAGTCCGGGGACTATTTTTGAGTATTTTTTACCTTCTGGGGGAATTTTGGGGGTATCTTTTATTTTGAGTCGAAAGTCCCCCTGTAGGGGGACAGGCCCGACCTAAGATTGGGGGCCCACCGCAGAAGTTCTTGGAACCGAATGACGCTCTGAGAGCTGCAAGCAGTGCCCTTAGAACAGAGAGGCCATGCCTCAAGGCGGGATTCAGCCAGACATGTTCTCAGACTATGCCGTGCAAACCGCACAAGGCTCTCAGACCATCACTGGGGGGGGAGGGCTTGGGGCAGTTCGGCACAGATCGCCGCTGCTGGCGTCCTCGTCGTCCGAGCGAAGGCCGGCGTCCTCCGCGCCGTGGTGGTCCTGGCGGCGCGGAGGGCGGAGCTCGGCAGAAGCACGCGGGGACCTGCGACGCACACCCATGAATTTGCGCGACTTTCGACTGGGCCGTTTTTTGGTTGGAGGGAAAGCTCGAGGCTCCACGACGGAGGCGCGTCCCTCCTCGAACAGAGGGCGCGTCCCCGAGTGGTTCGGGAGGTCTCGGGGATGCGGGGAGGGGGCCTCGCCTGCGACAGTGGAAGCTGCCTCCTCGCTTCTGCCCTTGGTGCCCAAGCCAGCGCACCCGCGAGCGCCTCAGATCCAACGAGGCCGCAACGTGCGCTGGTTGGGCTCGACTGCGCGGAGCTGCCTTCGAGGCCTGGGAGGCCGCTGGGCCCCTGCCCCACCACAAGACATCTCGAAGAGCACAGCTAAACTTATGTCGGGCGTGTCCCCCTACAGGGGGATTTTCGAAAAAAAACAAGAATACCCCCAAAATAAACAAAAAATAATTCAAAAATAGTCCGGGGACATTTTTTTGCATTTTTTAATCATTTTGGAATATTTTTGGGTACTTTTCATTGTTCGTCGAAAATCCCCCTGTAGGGGGACAGGCCCGACTTCAAGCTACATATATGTGGGATTACATTACATATTTACGTAATTGCATGTGTTGCGTACCATAAGTGGGGACCGCCACACAACGGTCGCCGCAGCTCTGCGAGCTGCGTGGTGTTCTCATACGCCTACGGATTGGGGACACGGATTGGTTCTTCCCCCGGCCCGACTTCAAGCTAAACCATTCCAGAGTCGGCGGGTCTCGGGAAGACGCCCCGTGCGCCGCGGCCTCCTCAGAGCGCTCCAGAGCGCCATGGAAGTAACCTCATGCCCGTGAGAATAAACACTAGGGGATAATAAAGTTCGGGATTCAGGGAGAGATAATAAAAGTAGCCCAGCAGACCTCAGCATAATCTCGAAGTAAGAGATGATCAAGAGGAGACCAAGCCGAGCACGTTTTGAGACATCCTTGGCGTTTAGTTTTCATAGGAATATCCTCAACAATGGCTTATATCTCATGAGATTTGTTTTTTGTAAGTGCTCGTGTAGGGTAGCTCATGTGCCTCAATTTCCATGGATAATCAACCCCAGAGATAAAAAGTTCAGGCGAGCGTGGGGACAGAGAGAAATATAAAATAAGAAGAATACAGTAGAAGAATCATAAGAAAGAAGAAGAAGAGGATAATAAGAAGAGGACGAAGAAAGGAAAAATTCAAAGTTCCAAATATATCAATTTTTATTTACAAACGCTTTATGAAAATTGATTGTTTAAGTGCTCGTGTAGGGTAGCTCATGTGCTTCATTTTCCATGGATAATCAATCCCAGGGATAAAAAAGTTCAGGCGAGCGTGAGTACAGATAGAAATATAAAAGAAGAAGAGGAAAGTATAATAATAATAAGAACATTGCTCGTTTCGTTTGAGTCTGCCTCCCAAAATTATTGGTTTCGCTTGACACATCCTAAAAAGTGTGATTGCTTCGCTTGATGTTGCTATATCAACATCGCTTGATGTTGCTATCTCAACATAGCGTTTCGAGGTGATAATGAAGTTCGGCCTCAGCGCTCGCCGCCCAATTTGAATTTTGTATAGGGCGACGATAATCAACTCTAAACACTGAAGGGGGGGGGGTCCCTTTATTATCATCGGCATGCGGTTACTCAGAGAACGCTACGGGACGGCCCGTCCTCGTCCCAGACCCGCGGGACAAGCACGGTGGAATAGAGGAACAACCAACGGCAGAATATACATGACCTTCGGAGCTCCACGCAGATTCCTTGGATCCGCGCCTGACCCCCCTGGCCCCAGCACGCGGATCGCGCCAGGGGCGGCGCCGGAGGCGCCGCAAGGGGGGGCCCAGCGCAGACCCAAGGCATCCGCGCGGAACGCCGAACGTTTACCCCCCACCGGATATGTTGGGGTCGTTAGGTTTTAAGAACAGACCTCCTGGCCACTCCCACCCTGCATACCGCGGCCGCCCGACCCCAAGTTGTGCCGAAGGTTCCGGTTGTCCCGCCTCGCGCCATCGACAAGCACGACAGAACACACCCTGCATACTGCGGCCGCCAGACCTCAAGTTGTCCCGAGTGTCCCGGTTATTCCGCCTCGCGCCCTCGACAAACACGACAGAACACATCCTGCGTACAACCAACGGCCGCCCGACCCCAAGTTGTCCCGAGTGTCGCGGTTATCCCGCCTCGCGCCCTCGACAAACACGACAGAACATACCCTGCATACCGCGGCCGCCCGACCCAAAATTGTCCCGAGTGTCGCGGTTATCCCGCCTCGCGCCCTCGACAAACACGACAGAACACACCCTGCATACCGCGGCCGCCCGACCCCAAGTTGTCCCGAGTGTCCCGATTATCGCGCCTCGCGCCCTCGACAAACACGACAGAACACAATATGACAACAGAGCAAGAGCATGGCAGAACATGGCAGAACGGAACATACCAATATCATGACACATAGAGGACACCTACATAGCACATAACATACAAGAGCATAACATGCCATAACAGAAAAATGTATAACACATAGCACTAGAACATAACCGAACATACTATAAGACACAGTTGCATAAAAATATCATAGCATGAACAGCGTCACCAAACATATCATAAGACGTCAGCAGAGCATAGCGGCGAACACGCCAGAACACAACATGCCACACCAGAAGATAGCATGACATAACATAACACGAGCATGCCATGGCATGACCGAGCATAACATAGCAATATCATGACACACAACCGCATGCTATAACATCACATAACACATCATATCATAGCATGGTATACCACAAGGCGAAATACAACAACTTAACATAGCATAAACGAGGAAGCCATACGATACCTTGTCAGAACATTCCATACCAGTGCTCTTCATTGCGGAACACATCATAACACGACAGTGTAGCATATCGCCACGTACTAGCATAGCAACTTACAGTACATTATAACATCAGCTTGCGACCTGGCCCGGCCGCCGCGCTAGCGCTGGCCGACGCCGCCGGGCACTGCGCACATCCTTCCAGTAGGCGCGCGCACCGTTGGGACCAAACACCGAAGATTTGGCGGGGATAGCTCGAAGCAGACTAAACATTGTCATGGCGTTGTTTCGCCTTCGAGGGAAGGTCGACGGGCGTGCCACGACGAGCGGGATACGGCCCCGCCCAAGGATCCTGCAGCACCCGCGAGAAGAGGCACAGGCGCTGGCCCGGGGGGCCAGTGGCCGCCGCCACGGAGCGCCGGGCAGCCCCCTCGGCGGCGCCGCCCTCGCTGCTGGGGCCGCCCGCGCCTGCGCCTGAGGAGCTCAGGTCGTCGCCGTCGTCCGCCATCCGTGACGGGCCGATTTTCGGCCATCACCACCACAGGTAGGACGGGGGGGGGAAGAGAGGATGGGGAGGTCCTCCTCCTCCTCCTTCTCCACGTCCTCCTCCCCGTCCTCCTCCTCCTCGTCCTCCTCCTCCTCCTCCTCCTCTTCCCTTTTCCTACCTGTGGTAGTGGCGGTGGAAGATATGCGCTTCAATCCACCACTGCACCTGCTGCTTACGTTGGGAATACTTCTAAGTTAAACTGCTGGAGCGCACCACGGAATAAATGGATGGCGCCTTGGGCAGAAGGAACCACGAATCAAAGCTGCGGCGAGTGCGGGAAATGAGAGGCAAGGAAAAATGGCCAGAGATGTGGTGCCCCCGGAGGATCGAGTAGCCACGAACAGCGAAAGAGCGAGGACCAGGGGTCGAAAGGAAGGCGGATCTTTTTGCTTTCTGTCGGGAGCGGCCTTACCGACCCCTAGCAAACCATCCCCTTCCGTGACGTCATTCTCGCCTTTCGAGCTCCCCTCCGGCCGCAGACATACGTCTTGGGGCGAGGTGAGGGGGACGTCATGGAAGGGGATGGGTTCGCACGGGTCGATTAGGCCGCCCCTGATTCTTCGCCCGAAACTCGTCTGCCGACGCCTCCACTCAGTGAGCCAGGGCCTCCGGAGACCAGGGTGGCGGGGTTGAGTGCGGCAGGCACGGCGTCTCAGTTAGAGAAAGAGGAGGAGGAGGAGGAGGAGGAGGAGGAGGAGGAGGAGGAGGAGGAAAAGGAGGAGGAGGGGGAGGAGGAGGAGGAGGAGGAGGAGGAGGAGGAGGAGGAGGAGGAAGAGGAAGAGGAAGGGAGCGGCTCCGGCAGTCGCCCGAGGACTGGCTCGGATGCGGCAGTCGACCAGCACGGACTGGCCGGATGATTCCGGGCCGGATCCGATTGGTAATCCCCAAACGTGCTGGTGACAACACCTGGCGGTGAGTCTCGGGCGATTTGGTGTCACCACCCGGTTTGGGGACTCGTGCGGTTTTCCGAAGATGTCCCGAACACTGGTGGGTCCAGGAGTCACAAAACCCGGTGGTGATCCCGTGTCCCCAAACCCAGCGGTGACCTTTTTGGGGGATTCCAGGTCGCCACCTGGTATCTCACCACCCGGTTTGGGGGTTCCCAATTCAGAGCTCCCTCTCGGCATCTGTGTGCGGTCCTCCGGAGCCACCTTCAGTGTTCCCTCCTGGCCGTCTCCTCAGCGCGGGAGGCCTTTTGGAGGGGGCCATCCCCCCCCCCCAACCTCACTCGAGGTGCTTTGTGGGGCTGGAGGCGGAGGCCTCAGCGAGATCAGCCGAGGATGGCCTCCATTCCTGGCTGCCCTCTGGCAGCGGTTCCCGCAGCACCAGTTCACAGCCCATGGAGGGCGCCAACGAACCCCTCGTCATCTGCATCACCCATCTTCACGCTCTCCACTTCTCCGTCCTAGCCCTCCTACTTCCCCTTGTCGTCGTCGTCGACGCCGTCGTCCGACTCCTCCGCCTCGCCACTCCCCTCCTTGCCCACCTCGTCGTCCTTGCCGTCGCCCTCATACTGTTACTGTTGCTGTTGCTGTTGCTGTTGCTGTTGCTGTTGCTGTTGCTGTTGCTGTTGCTCCTCCTCCTCCTCCTCCTCCTCCTCGCCCCGCCTCGTCCGACTCGTCCTCCCTCCGCCCCCTCCTCCGTATCACCCTCCGCTGGGGCAGCCAAGGCCTCTCCGGCGCGTTTCCGCCGCGGCTGCCGTACGTCGGGAGCGGCCAAGAGGGGGGTGTCCAAGAGGGGGGGGTGCAAATCATGACCGGCGGCATGTGCGCGGCCCAGCGGGGGGGCCAGGGACGTAATGAAATAAGAAGAGGCGCCATGAAATCTTGGGAAATACCATGGCCCGCGCCATGATGTCCACCCCCCCCTAGTCATCACCCCCCTCTTTTCCGCCCCCGAAAGGGGGAGGAGCCGAGAGAGAGAGAGAGGACGAAGGGGGGAGCGCACAGGGAAAACCCCGGGCACTGAGCCCGTCGCCCGTGGCGAGGCGCGCGACGGCGAGGCCTGCGGAGCGGCCCGCGGGTGCGTCCCGGCGACGAGCACGGAGGCACGCACACGCACAGGAACAGACACGAGCACGGGCACGGACGGAGACAACAAGCAACGATCGAGTACGCCGCTGCCTTTCAGCAGCCAGGAGCGACGACGAGCGCCGTGCCGGGCTTCTGTGGCGTCGGCGTCGCCCGTCGTCCGTCGTCGCGCCGCCGCCCGCCGCCCCTCGAGGAGGAGGAGGAGGAGGAGGAGGAGGAGGAGGAGGAGGAGGAGGAGAGGAGCAGGAGGAGGGAGGAGGAAGCAGGAGGAGGAGGAAAAGGAGGAGGAGCAGGAGGGGGGGAGGAGGAGGAGGCGGAGGAGGAGGGAGAAGGAGGAGGAGGAGGAGGAGGAGGAGCAGGAGGAGCAGGAGGAGGAAGAGGAGGAGCAGGACGAGGAGGAGGAGGAGGAGGAGGAGGAGGTCCGTCGTCCGTCGCCGTCCGTCGCGCCGTCGTCCGAGCGCTGCTCATGGAAGCCGACCACGTGCTCCCGCCAGCCGAACACCTCGGCGGAGGCAAAAGGGGCAAATGAGCCTGGGGGAAGCGCATTGCACGCACTCGCCGGGGAACCTCGCCGACGAGGTGGGCAAGCTGAGCCTCTGGATACACGGATACACGTGGCGCCCCCCCCCCCCCACACTTCAGGCCCTGGGCTATTCCCCGACATCCGACGATTGGTTTTTGTTCAATGCGTGGCCCCAGTGATCCCGACCCACTCCCTGGGGGCAGTTTGTAGTTTTGAAGTGAAGGTATGGGGGTTCGACAAAGGTAGGTTTGGGTCGGGCATGTCCTCCTACAGGCCGTTCTTCGAGGAAACAAGAATTAGAAACAATGCTCAAAAGTAGTCGCACGAGCACGAAACATCATCCCCAGACGATTGGTTTCACTATTCTCGAATATTCCTCCTGTAGAGGGACATGCCCGACTTTATGGTAGGTCGTATGAAGCTGAAGCCGAGGACCGTCCGGATTGACACCGACCACATCGTCGGAGAACTGGGCCCGCCTTGCGTCGCAGTTTTTGATTGACGGAGGGGAGCGCCAGCGGTCATTCCTGGGAAAAAAACATACAGCAAGGGCTTGGGCTCGGGCGGGGGGAAAGATAGAACATCACGTTCGGGAACCAAAAAAACAAGAACAAAAGATCGAAACAGGTAAAACGCTCAAGGGGAGTTCGACAGAGGTTCATATGCTTTGCATGTAAACCGGACAAGTGGACAATAAGGCAACCATAAGGACAACAAGATAATGGGACATCTCCTAAGGGAACCATGGGAAACATTGGAAAGCAAGGGAAGCGGACAATTTGAAGCAAGTTCGAAAATAGGGAAGATAGGACAACAATTCGCCGCCGACGTGTTTCGAAATGTTTGCCCACCTTCAAGGTTGTAGCAACGCTGAACATGAACTTTGCGAAAGCATTGGCCTCGAACTGTTCCTGGACCCTTGCGTGTGTTGACCTAAGACCAGCTCGCGCCCCCTCAGCCAACTGCACGTCGACGCAGGGCGGGTTGAGACGACGACACCTCAACATCGGCCCCTGGACCTCTCCTCGGAGCCCGGACGCACCCAGCTGTAGGGAACCGAGCGCTCTGTACGCCGACGCTTGCTCCGGCCCTGCACCGAGACTTGCACAGGATAGCGCATCCTGGTGTATTCCAAACTCCTCATGAATCGCCCCCCCCTAAAAAACAAGACCCCCCTCCCAATGCGACCTAATGTTCCGGACCCCCCTCTTCGACGGGGCGTCTTGATAAACCGGACCCCCTAAGCTCCAATCCAAAGAAAGCGCCCTAATAAACCGACCCCCCCAAGTTATAAGAAAGGCGCCTTAAAAACCAGACCTGGGAGACGATTCATAAAAAAATTGGTGTGCGCGGGATCCTGGTGTATACGTGTTTCGTTGTTTCCCCAGGAAGCGGAAACGGCATGTATACAGCACACCACCCCGACGTCGCCCCCGACCCTCAAAAAAGTCCTGGGTTGGAGAAATGCCCGCCTCTGGTCATGTACATGTCGGGCGTTGGCAGAGCTGGGTTCACTGGGACCTGCTTCAAAAATGCGAAATGGGGGACGCCACCCCCCCCGCCCAGTTCCACAAACCGGAACTGCCGTCACCCGAAAAAAACACCAGCTACGGCAGACCTGGTCTCGTGATTCTGGCCCATTGAGGGGCTCCGGGGCCCTACTATGCGAGGCGGGGATGTATCCAGATCCACCGCCTGGGAACGGACGTCCTGGTGCCCCAGCGGGCGGTGGATGTGAATATATTTCGGCCCCCGGGGGACCGAATATGTCCAGATCCACCGCCTGCCGAGGCTCCGAAAACTGACCCTCCAGACGGTGGTCATGCATGAATTCCCGCCTCGCATACTACTAACCGGGTCCCCTTACGTTGGCTCCTGGCTAGACTTGTGGATGCCATGACAACGGACACCCTAACAGTCCTATCATCGAATTAACAATGTGTTTAACATGTCTGAAACATGTCCTGAACATGCTTAGAACATGATTTCCATGTTTACAACATGTTTGAAACATATGTTAGACATCTGCACATTCTTTGGCAGCACGCTTCCTCTCCATTCATCGGCTTCCACAAGGCTAGACCCGAATAGGCTCCAACTTCCGACAGTTGATCGAGCTGCGTCCAGCCGCGGTGACCAAGGGGGTATCCTGAAAGCCAACTGCCCGCAGTCTTCATCTTAGGTCGGGCGTGTCCCCCTGCGGGCGGGCTTGGGAGGAACAAGTCGTCCAAACATGGTCCACAAATACTAGGATCATCGTCCCCCGACGTTTTGTTTTCAGGTTTTTTTTTGCGGCCTAGAAATTTGCACCGACACCAACACAGGGGGTTGCCTCCGCAGGGGGAAGCTGATCCTAGATTTCGATGTTGGTGGTAATAGTTTGGCCACCTTGGAAGCCAGACGATTGC